TTTTTAGCACCTTTTGGGACGTTAGCACCTTTAGTAACTTTTTAGTACCTTTTCACCTATTTTGCAAATTTTATACGTGATTAATGGATAAATCACAAAATACACAATGAGTCACTCAATATTTTGACAAATTTGCAGAAATTATTTAACAATTTGATAGCGAAGAATACGGTTATATAGAAGAATTGAAAGAATTAGTTATGGATTCTAATATTATAAATCAATCTACATTCATTTATGCTAATTTCGATTGTCTTGGGATAGAAATAGGTAAATTAAATGCAAAATAAATAACTTTTCACAACTTTTTATCACCTTTTTAGCACCTTTTTAGCCATTTTTTTAGTAACTTTTATAGTGACTTTAAGACTGGTTTTTGTCACCTAAAAGTCAATGCTTTAGTTATAATCATACAAAAAATACAATTTTTATCTACATGATAGTATGGAATAATTAAATAATTAAATTATAGCCTTACCTGACGTCTTCTCGATCTTGATCATTTGGTTTTGATTGGGGAGACAAAACAGGTTACAAAAGTACTTTTTGGCGTTGACAGCGCACGCGGGACACGACCTGCTGATTAAATCGGCGTAATTTAGTAGTCGTGTCACTGACTCCTCCTGTTCTGGCGAACAGCACAACCGATGCAACAGTTCTCCTATTAAATCAAATCAATAAATTACGTGCGAAATCAGAATTTCATTATTTATTAAATTTTTAACTTTTGCAAAAAATTGTAAACTCCATGTAATATAAAAATTCAAATTTTGCAAATATGCAATTTAGCACATAATCTAATACCTTTATGATTGAAATAATGCGGACAATTAGTCGATAAAAGTTCATAGAAATCATCATCGGTTACATTATCGTAGGGCGCGTGCATTTGATGACAGGGGGAGTTCTTTTTGACCCCATCTATCTTACAGATGGAGTCCATTAGACACGTCTTGTCATAGTTCACTTCATCGGCGCTCAACACCACTAATACATTAATTATCGATATAATAAATATAATAACAAATAGTTTGACACACATTTACAGTATGTTATAAATATAAGTTATCTTTTGTAATAATAACTAATAAATAATAACTTTTGCGATTAAATAGGAATATTGATACAAACATATACTTTTAATTTACTCGACAGTAATTACCTTTACCTTTATCAGATAACAATATTAAGACGTGCATTGTACATGCATGACATACATACATGCATGTTTAATTATCATGTTTAATCAGGGTGATACCTATTATTTTTAAATAAAAGATATAATAGAATTTTGAAACAAAACATTTTTTAATTCTGTATATTTAACTTTTTATTTATTTAATTTAACTTTTATTCAAAATATTTAAATTTATTTAGAACATTTACATAAATAACGAGGCAAACCGAAATATTGGAAATTGGTTAAAGGTTAATTTTCATGTGTATTTATATTTAATATTTAATTTCACAAAATAATATAATTTTAATATTTACTGGTTGAGAAATGGCAGACATCTAGACCTACCAGGAATTTTGTATCTATCAATCTTTAGTTATTTATATATTTTGTTAGTAATATATGGCAAATAGCTTTGCCAAACGTACAGGAATTTCCTGTATTGTACAGGAATTCTCACAATATACAGGAAGAAATTTTGGTGTATATTGAAGAATACAGGAATAACTATTTTGTAAATCAGCTGTAATACAGGAAAATACAGGAATTTTTGGCAATTTTTACACATTTATACAGGATTTTTAAAATATCATTTGGCAACGCTAATGGCAAACTTATTCTAAGAATTGCACATTAATTAAAATTTTTATTGATTATACACATCATGCATATTCTGCATTTAACATGTGGACTAGAATAAATTGATTTGCACACAAATGTGCAGTTATAAACAATATAAATATAAACTATTTAAACATACGGTAGTATAATATACTGTATAACCCGTATCGTATTGTAATATAAATACATATTTAAATTAATTATCAAAATTTAACAATGTGGCATGGTGATAAAATCAGTCTCCATTCTATGCACGTAATAATGATGGTATTAGTATTGGTTATGAATACGGAATCGTTTGATTTGTCTGAAATTGCTTCACAAACCGTAGCCCGTGTTTGCGATATGACAACCATTAACAGCGATATCATCATGAAATTAAAGGCATGCGATAAACAGTACGACGATCAGTGGTGTATGGACATGGCCCAACAAAAAAGGTAACATGGTTAATTTATTTTGCATTATAAATTTATTGACAATCACAACTTATATTTTGTTTACAAGTTCATATTAATTTTGCTAATGTTAATTGATATTTTAAAAATAAACATGCTAATTTACTGTTGCTAAATTAACCATGTATAGCATTGAACCTGAATTCAAAAAGTGTGAACATATGGTGCGAAACGATTGGATGAGTCTGAATGTGACCACAGATGAAGACAGGGAGGATGTGCTCAATGCCTGTAATGTCGGTTATCACAAGTGCTATAAGAATGCGTATGCATTGGTCAGACAGCAAGTTTACCTTGATCGCAGAACTAAAAATGTAAATTATTTATTATCATGATTTATATGATTATGATAAATTTATTGATTAATTTATTTGCATATATTTAGGCTTGTTATAAATCTGCCCTTGGTATTGCATAATAAAATCAGCATATTGTCTGCGTAAACAATTTATGTGACTATCATATGTTACTATGATACACTGTATACATATTATTTAATCAGGCTTTTTATTTTAATAAATTTGTTCAGCATTTATTTGTATAGTATTTAATGTAGAATTTAAAACTTGTCAAATAAATATTAATTTGTCGAATGAATAATTAAACAGTAGGTGGCACTTTTGTAGCACTTTTTACTAATATATAAAAATTCTACGACTATGTATAGTTAATTTATCACTAATTATAATTTATAAATGACAGGCATATTAAAACAAACACACTTTTAGATATTTTAATAGTAGTAATTTTTTAAATAATTAAAAAAAATAAAAGTCACCTGCTTGGAAAATATTGAATTGGTTTATTGAATTATTAAATTAGACTTTACATTGTAACTTTACATAGTAACTTTACATTACTACTAACATACATAACACATAATATCAAGAAGTTAATAGCCATAGCAAGAATACGGTGATAGTAATGTGTCAGTTTAGTATGTGTAAATAACTCATAAAATAATTGATATTGTTAAATTTTTAAGTACAATAGTAACACATAATACAATAGCAACAAACATATACAATAGTTGATTTAATGTGATTTACACATGGATAAATAAAACTATAAAAATAAATAAAATAAATGTCAAAATACATGTCAAAAAATTTAAATTGTACAACAATTTAAACAAGCTTATATAAATAGCAGTTGGATTAACTAATGCCAGTTTTATAATTAAAATATTTAAGTAAACTTTATTCCTGATTTGGCTAGTAACATTATCCAAAAAAATATGCTAACAATTTTATGCCTACTATTAACCGTTGGCTATAGTATGCAAAACAATATGATGTATGGTTTGAGCGATACTTTAAAGGCCAAAGTATGCAACGCCTCGTTTATTACCGACCAGAAAATACAACCCCTAGAGAAATGTGACCAGGAGTATATTAAACAAATGGACCCCATATGGAAACAGGTTGGGTATATAATATGACTCATGTTACTAGACCGCTAAATGATTTAGATAAATTATTTATATGAAACATTTAATGTATTAATTAAGTATATTTGTCTATCATGTTGAAAATTATTTTTATTATTAATTATTATTTTGCCTCATAATTAGTGTACAGATAACGCGGTCACCAAATGTAAACCCAATTTCACCTCGTTTTTGGCCAATTTTACTAATGTTAAAGAAAGCAAACACCAAGATAAATTGCTTATTAGATGTAATGCTGAATACTTGTCGTGTAGGCGTACTGTACGCCAGGAGTTTAATGATAAAATGAAACCGGTCGACAAATTCAGAGAGGTTGATGGTTTATGTATTTAATTTATTTAAATAATTTTATTTTTGTCTATTTTTATTTAGGAATGTTATAAAAAAGCACTTGGCCTTTAAACTGAATAATGAAAATTTTATCAAACGTTTTAAACTTGTTTATTAATTAAATAATCAAACTTTATATTTGTGTAATTTTTCTGACATTTTTTAATAATTTATTATAATAAATAAATAAATATAAATTAAACTCAATTAATGTTTATTATTATTTATTTATTGATGGTTAAAAATAATTAATTATTATTAATGGTATTATAATTAGTAGTGTATAAGAATTCTGCTATAATTTAAATTGCATGATTTATAATATAATTCAATAGAAATCACATTAATCATTGACACTAACAATGCAACTTGTTGATACTTGTTTAAGATTGACATTGATAATTTTTTAAAATCAGCAATATTTTTTTTACAAAAATTGTGTCACTGATCAAATATGTTAATAATATAATAATATTATCAATATAATGTTTGATGTATTAGTGATTGATAAGTGTAAATTGTTAAAATGTACTTTTCCGTTCAATGACAGTATATTAATATAACAATTAAATTATAAATTATTATAAATGCAATATGATCAACAAATATTTATTTAACAAGCATATGGATTTCTGTTAATTTAATATTTATATTTTATATTATAGAAAATTAAATAAAAATCAATGTAACTTTGTGCAGTGTAGAACATTAATTGAATAGTGATTGATAATCTAATTTAAATATTAGTTATAATGATGATAACTATAAAACTAACATGTACTCTATTTATAATAGCATTATGCATTACAAATTCAATGCAATTTATGCTAAACAAATTGGACGATACTATGAAACTAAAAGCCTGCGACACGACATTCATTACCGATGATAAGTGGCAACAATTGGAGAGATGTACCGATGATTACTATAATCAGGTTAGACCGTATTGGAAAGAGGTTGGTTATTATTTTTTAATAAGCACGTTTGATTACCATTTAAATATTAAATAAAATACAATTTATTTAATAATTTTACATGTACAAAAGATAAATTATAAAATGTACAATTTTGGTAATAATAAACTAGGTGATGGAACAGTCAATAAGCACATGTAGGCAAACATATAACGACCAATTGACAAGGTATAGTAACGTTAGGCTGAATACAACCCAGGATAGTTTATTGCTCACGTGCAACGCTGATTACAAGATTTGTCGTGGCAAATTGTACAAAATGCTTAACGATAAAACTGTATCGTACGCTAAAACAAGAGATGTACGATCATGTTGTTGTTTATATTGTTTAAAGTAAAATTAATTTTTGTTTTGTTATTGTTTAGGATTGCTACCGTAATATTCTTAAATAATGGGAATTAAATAATTAAGTATTGAATTTCATCGATTCTGTTTAAACTATTATTGTTTTTGTTGTAATAAAATTTTTATTAAACATTAAAAGTGTTTTTTCGCAATATTTTTACATTTTGAGAGAGAGAAAGAGAGAGAGATTTCAATAACATACAGTATGTACATGGTATTTCAAGAATGGAAAACCCATTATAAACCATTGATCTCCAAATGACTTAATTTTCTCGGGAAATATCGGAGTTAATTAAACCAAAATTTTATGGCTTACAGTCAACTATCCTAGCTATTGTTTGTGAGAATTAAAATTAAATTCAATTGCCCAACTTTTCG